ATCTCTGGAATTCCGTAACGTTCAAAGATTTCTCTGAGTTTTTGAAACTTTTCTTGCTGTCACCAATTCCAAAAGAACTCGACTCTGCGAGAATTCTTGTTTGTTTTTAGTAACATCATAAGCTTTCAAAACTGGTGCACTTGTGAAAGTGTTTTTGATTTATTAAAACACTGTTGATCATTAAACTGAAAAGTATTGTTACGTTTGGGAAGTTCGCTTAGAGGTTTTGTTTCATCTGCAATATTTTTAGGAAATTTTGTAAAATGATTTATCATATCAAGAAACTGTCTTACATTTGTCATTGTTTTGGGTTTTCCAAAGCCTAATATGGTCTTTATATTGTCACTGTCCATTTTTATACCCGATTGTCCAATAATGTGTCCAAGTAATTGCACTTCCGAAATGCCTATCTGACATTTTGACTCGTTTGAAGTCAGTCCATTGTCTCGTAACACTTTAAGCACTCTTTTTAACCTTCCATCACTGTGTACTAATACCCCTTCATGGTTATTGAAAAGTCTATTCATTAAACTCTGAAAAATTTCTGGAGCTGAAGTAATTCCAAAAGGAATTCTCTTGTAAATGTACCTTCCAAAAGGTGTTGAAAAGGCAGTGTAGTGCTTGAAACCTTCTGATGATGGAAGTTGCCTAAAAATTGATACACAATTTAATTTTGAAAATACTTTTGCATTTCTTATTTGTGTCAGTGTATAGAATCCACTGTTGGTAAAATAAGTTTTTCTCTTGAAACAGATGTATTGAGTTCAGTGAAGACTGCACATATTCTAACTTGATCATTTGTTCTGAGGACACAAACCATTGGTGCACATTATGGAATAGAATTATTGTAATCCACCTGCTCAATTATGTCCTGATCTACCATTTTCTGTAGATCTTTTTTAACTTGATTATTTATTTAAATTGAGTATGGCACACAGTTTTCTATCACTTTTATCTTGTATTCATAATCTTTTAATTTCCCAATTCTGTTGAAAAATTCTGGGAAAGATTTTGTAATTTTTCTCAAACATGCATAGTTGTTCAGTACTTACAGTTTTCTGAGTATTACAGGTCTTCCAAGTAAATTTTCATGATTTTCCATGAAATATATCTTTACTTCATTATTTTCACCCTTATAACTGATCTGAAGTGTACATTTCCCAATAACATTTAATGGACATCCTCCTGGACCCTTCAATTTCACTTTAGTACGACTGTTACGTCAGCACCTGTGTCAATCTTGAAAGATATTTCTCCCTCAAAAACTTTTGCTGCTATTTTTCCATGCAGTATTCGAGCCGCTCTGTATTTCTTCGACTATTTCGGTAACTTCAGAGTCTTTGTCACTTATTTGGGCTGCATTTGTCACATTTCGGTTTCGTTCATTATCCACTAACCACGCATTCCATTCTACTGGAACAGAAAGAACTTCTCTGGGGGAGGTACATTGGTCACTGTTGTTGTGTTATTGGTGCTAACTCCCAGCACTGGAATTTGAGCTAAACTTCGCTATATTCTTCTAGTTGGGCTTGCAATTGCTAATTTTTTTGATGAAGTTCTTCCATTACCAGTAATTTCTCTCCATTTTTAGCTTGATGACATTTGAGGTTAGGTCATGGAATTTTTGAACTATTGCCCTAATCTGACGATTTTACCCGAAAATTTTTACACCTGACACCATGTTACATTGGATACTTTAAGTTATTTATTAGTTTAGTTCATTGATTGAGGTTTCAAAGGAAACTTCCAAATAAAACTGGGGGAGCGTTTCATGAAGATGTAATTGGTTTCATGCGACCTTATATTCTCTGACACATAAGTGACATTACTTCTCGAGCTTCCCCTATCTTTGACATATTATTATACAAACTTGTCCAAATGGCGCCTGCTTGGCAAACAATAAACAAAAAACATATGTTTTTTTTTTTTGGCGGGATTATCAATAGGTACACATAAATTGAATGAAAACTGTTGCTCATAAGGCAATGTAACACTTTTCTGACATCGTTGAAATGTAACAACCCTGTATTGGCGATATTCTAACCTCATAAAAATTTCAAAATGCCGGCTGGTTGGCAAAAGTCACGTGTTTTGGATTCTCTAATTTCCGAAGGACATGATATAACTACATCGTATAAAATAAGAAGTATCTGAGTATGCTTGTTATACAATCCAAATCAAAAGATACTATAAAAGTGGACAACAGTGAGTATTCTGATTTTTTACTCTGAAGCAGTATTGGAATTCTAGTGGAAACAATCCTCCTCTGAATCCAAACTATCCGGTGAATTCTATCAAGTTGGGGCCCTTTTTACAATGAAACCATTTATTGCAGGCTCAAGCTTCAAGTACATTTACTTTACTTCATCCTTATGTCATTAGTATTTTCTTCCTGTTTTCACTGACTTTACTCCAGAGAAACTCACAAAGGTGGATGGTCAGTAGATAGGCGAGTTCAGCACGGATGACGATCAGAATTAAAAAAGGTTTATTTTCCAAAAATAATTATTAAAATAGTATACAATGAAAAAATAATTCAGGGGCACAGTAGACTGTGAGTGCACGTGAAAGAAATGAGGATAAAAGATGTTTATTTCATGTTTGGTTTGAATTATGTTCAGACAAGAAGAAATTTTTGTTGTTGAGATTTTTTTGTGTATTTTTGAACCACTGTATCTCGGCTACTATTGCATTAAAGAATACTTTTGACCAGTTAAATTTGAAGGAAATTAAATTTTCTTCAACTTTATAAATAGGTGCATTCCACTAAAAACACATGGTTTAGAAGTTATGAGCAAATAACTGAAAAAGTTCTAAAATTTCTAGGTCTTTTCCTAAGTTAGCAAAGGGTCCTCGAGGTCGAAAACTTATAGATTCTACCCCACAGACTATCCACAAACGACATGCCGAAATATCAATAGCTTTGGAATACTTACCAGCTACCTACCCCCTTTATTTATTACCTGCCTGCTGGCCTAATATACGGCAGGGCAAGTTGCGCCTGCCAATCCCAAGATCCACTCTCACCAAACAGTCAATAGTGTATGGTATGAGGGTTTAAACACAAGAATCAGTGAAAAAGCTTCTACAATCTAAAGCATATTATTCGGCAGACAAATTTTACCACGAGACATTTCAATCTGTTTTTGTTTGTTAGATTAGAGTTTTACAGGTTTTGTTCTAATTTGTTTGTTATTCTGTTGTGTTATAATCCGTATGGTTTTTTTGTTATTCAAAGCTTTGCATAATTACTTTAACAACCACTTTAATTTCTTGTATTTTTTCTATAATTTGTATTCTTTCTTGATTCCGTTTTTCTTTTAGCTTTGAGACATTATATAGTTGTGGAACACACTGGCTCCTTATTTAGACATAGAATTGTACGGGGAACTTTAAAATCATTCCATTCCATAAATATACATCCAAATTCTTATTTTTCCCATCACTCATCAAAACAATTTTTCCACGCTAATAAGCACACACTAAATCCCCATCATCATTTCGAACCCAGAGAGTAACAGAATGCCCCAGCCGATAGCTCGTTAGTGGATTAGGTCAAATGTCAAAGGTTTTCAGTTCCCTATAATTAGTACGACGCGTTGCCACGAACGTCGCCCTTGTACGGCCCTATTCCAACGCCGCCCTTCGATGCCGGGCATGCAGATAGAAGGGTGCTGTGTGTGTGTATGTCGTAATAAATTTTGGCCATCCAAATCGTTAGCTTCAAATATTTGATGTAGATCAAATTTGTAGCGGCCAACGAGCCCCCGAGGGGTATATAAATTTAAAACATATGTCTGGTAATTTTAGGTCTAGGAGCATTCATGCGTTTAGAATAGTACCTATTATTTATTTTTTCAACTAATCAATTTAATTTGATTATTTAGTTTCGTTAGGAAGTATCTTCACTATTCCTTGATTTTGCTGTTGCTGAATAGTTGAGTTGGTTTCTCTTTGATGGATTGAGGTTCTTCAAAGTTTCTGGCGCTTCAAAGTTTTCTTCTGTTGGTTGATGTGTTGAGAGCTTTCATCGGAATCGTAGTTCATAAACGAACAATCTTACTTTGTGATAAATTTCCAAGTTTTCTTGAGTTCTGTGTCATGGAGGCCCAGGTCTACAAGATAAATTATAGCTTTGCAAATTTGCCTGTAGCTTGTCCGATTGCGATTCTGTCTTCGGTAATTTTGGATATTTTTATCTAAATTAAATGTATATCGTCTGATACGTGTATTGCCTAGGAATAAGTTTGTCTTCTCCGATCTTACTTTTGAAATTTAAACATACCAGCAAGGTTTGGAGGCAAGTAATTTTCCTTGAGCTGGAGTTTTACACGAACAATTTCCATAGGAATCCAGATCTCATCTTCTTCTTCTAGCCCTCCACTGCTGGATGTAGGCATCTTCCAACGGTTTCTGTCTTGGGCTTTCCAGCAATCATTTGAATGTCATCACGCCACCTTGTTTGCGATCTTCCAATGTTTCTTTTTGAATCTCGTGGCCTCCAACTTCAATAATCAATCAATATTGCTTAAAATTATTACAAAAATTGTTTATTATACAATGGTTCAAATGTGTTGTGTGAGATCTTATCAGAGTAAGGCGAAAAAGAAGTCAAACCTTTCTTTTTACAAGTTCCCATGTAGCTGCTTTGCAAATTTTCATAGTTGTATTATGCTGGTGCATACAGTTTCTTTGAAAATTCTAGATTCCACCTTTCATACGGATATAACGTAGAGTTTAGGTATAGGCGAATATCGAATACATCTGCGATTGTAAATTCTGTGGCATCTTTTTCTCTCTTGTTGCAATTTTAATTTTTTTGAAATCCGAAAATGAGATAGCGTGGTCTATACAAACTGTTGCTAGTTCTCAAAGTCCAAACATCGCAGCCGAGGTCTCGCGCAAAGCAGGAAATTCGTAAATGTCCCATTTGCGGTAAGTCATTCGAATATTGGCACTAGCACCGCCTTTATTCATACGTGACATTATTTTCAACTTACAAGGTACGAGCAATTATTAATATAAGCTCTTGCTTGACGTTGAAGATCCCCTTCGTGTAGTCCTCGGCAAAAGCCATTAAATACTTTAGGGGTACCGGAAAACATGTGACTAGTACTAGTAGAATCGATGATATATTGTTCATCTTCTGTCAATCCCCAACCACATGTTAGAAGGGGTTTCAGTTGTGAAGCACCAAAGGATACCATTGTTTTTAGGGTTGTTGTAATTCCAGGTTTTGGAACAACTGCCACCTGCTCACCACCCATTTCATATCGAATTTCATGGAACAGAAAGGCTAGCGCATTATTGGATAGGTAGCACTTTTTAGTCGGATCTTTCGACTTAAACTTCCCCTCGATATAGATATAACTTTCGGATATGTCCAATATTATATCTTGGAAATGAACTGGAATGTGAATTTCATCAGAATTTTGAAAAACTGGGGAGCCATACGGTTTATATGTATGCTCTTGTTCCCAAGCAATCAAATTATAAGAAAACAATGGTTACGTGCTCTCAACCTGACTGAAGACGATTTAAGTTGGAACAGAGATTTGAGGGTTCATTAAATAACGATTTCTATATCAAATACAATAATAATTGTACAATTAAATGTATGCTAACACTCGCAAATTCGTACTTCTCAAACTGTTCTATGTGTCTTTTTCTTTTTTGCAGAAATCTTAATAAAAATTCCTTGTTGTTCATTGCATAAGAAAGATCTATTAAAATACCCTTGTTCTGGCATGGTAACTTTTCAAATATGTCCTCTAGGGCCAGTGTAAACAGCTTAGGGAAGATCGCGTCACCCTGTCTGACTCCTCTATTTGATAAAATTTTCTCAGTGGTCAGTTCATCGTCGATCTTTACTTGCATTGTGGCATTTTCATATGCATGACTTATTATTCTGGTGTATCTAGAATCGATCCTCGCATTATGCATAGCATCTAAAACCGCCCATGTCTCAACAGAATCAAACGCCTTATGATAATTGACAAAAGTGAGATGTGTTGTATTCTGTAGACTTCTCGATCAAGGCTCGTATACTCTGTATGTGATCAATTGTGCTGAAGCCTTTCCGAAAACCTGATAGGTAGAAATCAAACTTAGCATTTAGTCTATTTTTGTAAGTGTTTGTAAGTATTTTCGTCAGCAACTTATATAAGATAGACAGCAAACTAATAGGGCGGTAATTCTCCAGGTTAGTGGCATCTCCCTTCTTGAATATAATAGTAACTTCGGCGTTTTGCCAGGCTTTGGAGATTTTTTCTTCTTCTAGACGTTTATTTAGTATAATAGCAACTCGCTCGTAATTCTATCCTCTCCTGGAGCTTTTCCGTTCTTCAGCTGTCCTATTGCGGTTCTTAACTCACTCGTTTATATTTCAGGTATTTCTATTCGGATCCAGGATCCAGCATTTATGACGGGGTGTGTCTTCTTATGTCTGAAATCCAGATACTCAGGGTAAAAGTTCACAAGGCCATATACCTCATAATGGAGTATTTCGGTGAATAACAGTAAAAGGACACCGGGGTAAGACCCAATCTAATTATAAAATAGCTGTCACGAGGTGATGAAATACGTCGGTTAAAGGCCGAATCCGAAGAATAGAGGCTTTTTGCGCGTCGTCGACGGTTTTTAAATAGCCGAAGTCCCAATTTGAGTCCGGCTCAGCGATGTCGAAAAAGTCGCCGCCCGTCGAAATTGCGTCGACAAATGCGGATAAAAACTAGTCCCGAGTCGAACCTTTAAGGAACCGTGAATTGCAAATTATCATTTAGAAACATTTGTATTCATTTGTATTGGGCATTTGTAGTGGCCGGCTCGACACCTTATTTGTCAAAATAAATTATTTTTGATTTGATGACTTAATAGGTTTTGTTTCTTATTATGTATTGGACTTTTAAGAACAGGTGGACAGTTTTGTTTCTTGAATTTATCAATTGAAGCTGTTTTTTAGAAACATCATGGCCTAAGTGCACTACAAAAGAATCGTTGTTTATCACTTTTTATTGACTTAATTGGTCCATCCTTTTTAAAATCATGTTTGGTCGATTAGTTTTTGTTAAATAATCGAGTTCAATGTCGCGTTTATATTGTTCAAAAAAAAAACTGTTCAAACTAATATTGTACCTACATATTACCTACTCAAATTTGCGTTAATTGGAGTGTTTAGCTAATGTTAGGAAATCAAATACCAATTACTTCTCCCGTTTTTAGTTGATTACTTAGTAAATCAATTCAAACAAGCTTTATAGAGTTTAGTTATAAAATGGATTTTGATCGATTTTAAGTTATCTACTTCAATTTTTGTTGTCAATCAATATTTTATTTCTCAAATTCAAAAAATATTAAATCTTCGTCGTCTAAAAACGCCGCCCGGTCATACAAAAAAAATTAGCATATATAGACTTTTAAAACGCAATAAGAGCAAAAAAAAACTAAAAACGAACCGAACCTAACGACCACAACTTACCAGCATTTACATGCGTGGGTTCCCCTAAAAGAACCCTCATGGACAATCTATAAATTACCTCAACATTCATAGCCTATAATTAAATACCAAAAAATTTATAATTTTTTTTACTGGTGAATGATTTATATTCATGATATTCAATAAGATAAGAGCGACGGCAAAACGCACCATGTATCGTAGGTATCCCGACGGTGGCTACACATCTTGGCATCAAAAAGTTTGTGCTTTGCAAAAGTATACTTCTTCGGCCATATAAAGCAAGCTGGTTCTTAGATATAGTCGGCGTATGAATATGGAATAATGCAAAATCGAACCCAGGTAGCCCGCATCTTCATACCCATAATTGTTATTATGATAAAGTTTCCAATACCACCTTCATTTTTTTTTTTTGGGGTTTATTAATACGTACCTTTCACACATACGTATACTTAGTATATCACTTTATTGAAGCAAATTTTTCATATTGCATGGGTCTTTATGAATGCCGAGAAGTTCGAGTCATTCATTTTTGAACATTCAAACTTTTCTCTGTTTGAACGCGATTTGGAAGCGTTTTGAAAAAATTCTTGATACACAATTCACATAAACTCTTCTCTTTTGATTGTAATCAAATCACACAAAGGGCCGCATTTCTGTTATATCATGATACATGATCTGATGATCGGTTTCATTGGATCCTGCGCAAACCTCAGTTTCCATTTTTTGATTTTTCAACATAACCTCGAACATCTTAAATTAGATATTTATTTCTTGGTTAAACACTGGAAATTTTATTCCTATAAGCTCATTTCCAATCGCTCCTAAGGACTCACTGAACTCTCTTCTCATTCTTCTTTTTCTCCATTGGCTTGCTATCATCCATTTTTGAATTTTTGTTTCCCATTATTTCATCTCATCTGAACTCTATCAATCAATCTGTGTCCAGCATTGTATCAGTTCTGAATTCGATCCATAGTCTTTCTGCCTCATAAGGAGACCTACGAAACTTCGTTTTAGATGGAGTCTTATCTTCAGCGTTATCCAGTTTCATGGCATTGTCCATATTGTTCTTTCTGATGTCCATTGCAAGTCTGAAAATCTGCTTCTCTGATGGTAAAGTGGAGTTTTTAGGTTTTTTTAGGATCCATGCTTGGTGGCTTTCAACAAGTCTTATTATCTAAGAGAAACATACGTAATTGTTAACTTTATCCAAAGAAGGTTCTCAATGGTGACTTTTCTTTTTTCTTCTTTGACGTTCATAATGAGGCATGTCTAGACCAGTCTTTTTTCTTGGCTACAACCTTCATTTACAGTAAAGTGACAGAGCATCCTACCTCTCTATGAGCTCCCATGTTCTTATGGGAAGTTATACCATATTTGAATTTCACAACATTATTATTTTTTATCAGTTGTATGGACCAAAATGAAAATACCTTTGCTTGCTTTCAGTTGGCTTTATTGGCATATTTAAGAGATGTCGCCATCTACTTGTAAATAAGTCAATCACTTACAGAGAATTTGAACAACTGTGATTAAAAAATATTTGATGTATGTCATAAAGCCCAAAAGATGGCGCGCTGGCTCTTATCTGACGCCCCTCTTAGGGTGGGTATTATAAAACTGCTTTGACAGTTAGCTTAAAGTTAACTTTTTGAATTACATATAATTCTAGAAGTTAACTTTAAGTTAACTCTCAAAGTAGTTTTATAATACCCAGCCTTAAACGTACTGAAATGGCGCCAAAGTATGACGTAAAAATCTACCGTCCAATAAGAATCGTTCACAATTTTTCTGACGCACATCTTGTCTAAGCTCGAAATTCATCATTCGTTAATTGCACCTTTTTCATTTTACACACTGAGTGCGTTGCCGTCGCGGAGTTGCTGTTGTCGTTGTGTTGTCGTTGATTATGAGTTTTGAAGCTGAAAGTCATTTATAAAGGACCCCGCACACTTCATGGATATTTGGTTTTCTGTCAAACTCAATGAAATTTTGATATGTGTTAGACCTTGACTTCCTGATAAAAAGTTCTCATGGGCCCGAACCAATCATATGATTAGTTTTTGAGAAACAGGTACTTTAATGTCCACGAAAAGTACACATTTTAAATGCATTTATTTAATACAACCTAATAATACCAGGATGGACAGGTATCCTCGCGCTCAGGTGGTGCACAAATATTTTATTCCTTCAATAGTTTAATAAAACCAGATTAACTATTATGTTCACCACTGATTGCCACGATTTATCAATCTGACAATGAAGTACAATTTTGATACATTACGAGGGATGTTTATATAGTGTGCCAATTACAATGATTCTCGAATAGTGTACATTACTTGAACATTAAACTACCTGTATTTCAAAAAACTAGTCATAGGATTGGTTCGGACCCATGGGAACTTTTTATCAGGAAGGCAAGGTCTAACACATATCAAAATTTCCTTGAGTTTGACAGAAAACCAAATATGTACCCATAAGAAGTGTGCGGGGTCCTTTCGTAGGTCGTTCGTTGTTGACAGAGCTGTCACAAGTACATTACCAAAGTACTTGGAGTACAAATACAAAGTGCTCAAGGTTTTCTATAAGTAAGTGAAGTACAAAGTACATATTATTCTCAAATGTATTCCAGTTACCAAGGACTTAATAAAAGTACTGGAATTTTTCAGAGTTCTTAACTTGAAATACAATTGAAGTATTTCAAGTACTTCAAATACATTGTAGGGGGTCTTTGTCATAAATATAAAACATAAAACATGACAATGTTTTCATTTATTATTTTTTTTGGAACCTTTGTCAAAAATTAACCAACAACCCAACAAGCAGCCTCTAATGTCTGTGTTACTTTAAATATTTAAAAATATGAAGTACTTCAAGTCGAGCTTCAAGTACACTTTTGAAGTACCCGGCTGATTGTCTATATTTTGCAGGTACACCCATCTCAGCTTTTTGAAAAGATACCCAGAAATGTCAAATGTGAAAGTTGTAGATAATCAGGCCTATGATGTATCATTCTCTGTTATTTTAACAGCAACGTTAAGTTATCTGTCACTGTTTATTCTATACGTCAAAATAGAGACAGAAATAGATGTTGAGCCATAACACAGCCGTTAAAATAACTGGAACGGATACATCATAGGCCTGAATATCAGAAACTTTGCAAATATACTAGGTTTTTTAGATTTATTCCTAATAGTCCGGCTGAAAATAAGAAAAAAAGTGGAATTGTATTTTTATTGAAAAAGGTGACGTATAGAGACCACCAGCAAAAGATAAAGGTAATCATTCAAGTAAAAAATCCATATTATTTCTTCAAAATGAGATATTCAGAGGCTACACTATGAGGAATAAACCTAAAATACCTTGTATATTTGAAATCATGTTTGAAAGGTTAATCCAACAGGTCAGTAATTTACGGGGTACGGGGTCTTCCATTTGAAAGAGTATAACTATGCTTCGTGACACTTTTGTGAAATACCCTGTATACTTGTAACTAACTTCATTACAAAGTGTCTGATATTACTATACAACTTTCTCATTTGACATTTCTTGGTGCATCTTCAAACAGGTGAGTCAGGTATGGGTGCAAAATAGAGACAATCACCAGGTACTTGTCATAATTTCATTGTACTTGAAGTAAAGTCTGTTTTTTTTTTAAAGATAATTCCCCAAGTCAAAAATTTAGTAACTATGTTGGCAACACAAGCCTTTTCTACATAAAAATTTGAAAGCATTGACAATTTTACATTGTATTGCCAACAGAATGTCATTTTGACTTTTATCTTTAAAAAAAAAAACAGATTTTACTTGGAAAACTTCTGATGTACTGCAAGTAGGTACTTCTATGTGCTTGAAGTACTTTTCAATGTACTTCAAGTCCTTGTACACACACGAGGGTTTATACATTTGATATAATTTGCCTTTCTTTTTTAACAAATAAAAATTGACTGAAACAAATCAATGACGTCAAAAACGTTCGACGGTTCTTAAACCAGAAGTCATTCCAGTGGTGGTTCGCCCATATGGGCAAGGTAGGCACCGCCACCCTGGAGAAAGAATAGAAAAATAAAAAATGCTTTTAATACAATATTTAGAAAGGCTGCTTGAAAATCTTAAAAAAAAATCGCCTACGGCTGTTTTTTATTTTTGTCGCCCACCCTTAATTGGACACCACGAGCCGCCACTGAGTCATTCATTTTAATTTGTAAAAAAAATTGAATGTGTCATATGACAACCCTTTTTTTTTAAGTTGACGTCAAAAGTACAAACCCTCGTGAAACGAACTTAACTTGATGAAATCAAGTACAATGCAAAATACATTTTTTTAAAAAAGTTCAGTATAAGTACGGTTTATCCATTGTACTTCAAGTAAAATACTTCAACTACTTATGAGAACAATTTCAAGTATTTTTCTTGAAGTACAGTTGCGATCAAAAAAAAGTAGTAGGTACAAGAAAAATCTCCAAAATCTCTTGGTCTATTATAAATTAATTTAATTCATAACCAAAAATAACATATTTTCAGCAGAAAACTTCAGATGACATTACTTTGACATTTTTCCACCTGTTTTTAACCTAGAATATGTCATTGCCCAACCTCAACATATTTTAAAATGTTTGTTTACTGTCAAAATTTTGTATGTTACATTGGGAGCTCAAATTGGGGTTAATAATTTTTGTACGACTTTTTTTTTATCGCAACTGTACCTACCTGGCAGCTCTGGTTGTTGAGAATATGATTGGTCAAGTTGTGCTTGAGAGGTACTTGGTAACGACATTGAAAACACAATACTCACAAATTCAAAAAATACAAAATATAAGAAACTTTTAGAAAGCCCAGGAATGTCGTTAGATCTGAACAACCCTGATTCCTGTTCTTGCTCTTCCGATGACCCTGAAGGTCACACGTCATAGTTTATAGAATCCTTTGAACTGTGATGAATCTGGAGGAGCTATCTCGGTCTTTTTGCTGATGATACTAATTTCAGTTGGAGCAACCCGGATGTTTAGCTCTTCATAGAACCATGACCAACGACTTGTTTACTACTATATCATGGTGCGACTCTAACCTCTAGTTCAACGATGCGAAAACTAA